AAGAAAAATACCCACATTTCTCTAAAGAACTCGCCCATGGCTGCTGAAAGCTGAATAATAACCTATATCAAAGTTTGGGGCTTTTTACACATGAATCTTCACTTTGCGACTAAACTATTCACAGCAGTGCCAAATTTTCTGGGTCACGGAATGTGGGTGCCAGCGCCCTACAAGCAAACAAAAAATCAAACCAATGCGACAACTCACATTACAGCTGGCTCATGTTATAGAGAGGTACGTTGATATTCAAAAGTGAGCACAAATGGTCAAAATCCGACATTTTCTCACCTTTCGACCCGTTCGCAGCTCAGAAAATGACAATGACCATCCTCATCTCGTTGTGTAGCTGGACATAGACAAGGGCACCAAGAGAAACAGTACCATTTCTCTAAAGAACTCGCCCAGGGCTGCTGAAAGCTGAATAATAACCTATCTCCTAGTTTAGGGCTTGGTACCCGTGAATCTTCACTTTGTGACTAAACTTTTCATAGCAGTTCCAAATTTTCTGGGTCACATAATGTGGGTGCCAGCGCCCTACAAGCAAACCAAAAATCAAACCAAAGAGACGACTCACATTACAGCTGGCTCATGTTATAGAGAGGTACGTTGAAATTCAAAGGTGAGCACAATGGCCAAAATCCGACATTTTCTCACCTTTCTGCCCGTTCGCAGCTCAGAAATTGACAATAACCATTATCATATCGTTCTGTAGCTGGACATAGACAAGGGCACCCAGAAAAAGACCCACATTTCTCTAAAGAACTAGCGCAGGCCTGCTGAAAGCTGAATAATAATCTATCTCAAAGTTTGGGGCTTTTTACCCATTAATCTTCACTTTGCGACTAAACTATTCACAGCAGTGCCAAATTTTCTGGGTCACTGAATGTGGGTGCCAGGGCCCTACAAGCAAACCAAAAATCAAACCAATGCGACCACTGACATTACAGCTGGCTCATGTTATAGAGAGGTACGTTGAAATTCAAAGGTGAGCACAAATGGTCAAAATCCGAAATTTTCTCACCTTTCGGCCCGTTCGCAGCTCAGAAAATGACAATGACCATACTCATCTCGTTGTGTAGCTGGACATAGACAAGGGCACCAAGAGAAACAGTCACATTTCTCTGAAGAACTCGCCCAGGGCTGCTGAAAGCTGTATAATAACCTATCTCAAAGTGTAGGGCTTGGTACCCATGAATCTTCACTTGGCGACTAAACTATTGACAGCAGTGCCAAATTTTCTGATTCACTGAATTTGGGTGCCAGCGTCCTACAATCAAACCAAAAATCAAACCAATGCGACCACTGACATTACAGCTGTGTAATGTTATAGAGACGTACGTTGAAATTGGAAGGTGAGCACAAATGGTCAAAATCCGACATTTTCTTACATTTATGCCCGTTCACAGCTCAGAAATTGACAATGAACATCCTCATATTGTTGTGTAGCTGGACATAGACAAGGGCACCCAGAAAAATACCCACATTTCTCTAAAGAACTCGCCGATGGCTGCTTACAGCTGAATAATAACCTATATCAAAGTTTGGGGCTTTTTATACATGAATCTTCACTTTGCGACTAAACTATTCACAGCAGTGCCAAATTTTCTGGGTCACTGAATGTGGGTGCCAGCGCCCTACAAGCAAACCAAAAATCAAACCAATGCGACCACTCACATTACAGCTGGCTAATGTTATTGAGAGGTATGTTGATATTCAAAGGTGATCACAATTGGTCAAAATCCGACATATTCTCACCTTTATGCCCGTTCGCAGCTCAGAAAATGACAATGACCATACTCATCTCGTTGTGTAGCTGGACATAGACAAGGGCACCAAGAGAAACAGTCACATTTCTCTGAAGAACTCGCCCAGGGCTGCTGAAAGCTGTATAATAACCTATCTCAAAGTGTAGGGCTTGGTACCCATGAATCTTCACTTGGCGACTAAACTATTGACAGCAGTGCCAAATTTTCTGATTCACTGAATTTGGGTGCCAGCGTCCTACAATCAAACCAAAAATCAAACCAATGCGACCACTGACATTACAGCTGTGTAATGTTATAGAGACGTACGTTGAAATTGGAAGGTGAGCACAAATGGTCAAAATCCGACATTTTCTTACATTTATGCCCGTTCACAGCTCAGAAATTGACAATGAACATCCTCATATTGTTGTGTAGCTGGACATAGACAAGGGCACCCAGAAAAATACCCACATTTCTCTAAAGAACTCGCCGATGGCTGCTTACAGCTGAATAATAACCTATATCAAAGTTTGGGGCTTTTTATACATGAATCTTCACTTTGCGACTAAACTATTCACAGCAGTGCCAAATTTTCTGGGTCACTGAATGTGGGTGCCAGCGCCCTACAAGCAAACCAAAAATCAAACCAATGCGACCACTCACATTACAGCTGGCTAATGTTATTGAGAGGTATGTTGATATTCAAAGGTGATCACAATTGGTCAAAATCCGACATATTCTCACCTTTATGCCCGTTCGCAGCTCAGAAAATGACAATGACCATACTCATCTCGTTGTGTAGCCGGACATAGACAAGGGCACCAAGAGAAACAGTCACATTTCTCTAAAGAACTCGCCCAGGGCTGCTGAAAGCTGAATAATAACCTATCTCCAAGTTTAGGGCTTGGTACCCGTGAATCTTCACTTTGCGACTAAACTATTCACAGCAGTGCCAAATGTTCTTGGTCACTGAATTTGGGTGCCAGCGCCCTACAAGCAAACCAAAAATCAAACCAATGCGACCACTGACATCACAGCTGGCTCATGTTATAGAGAGGTACGTTGAAATTCAAAGGTGAGCAAAAATGGTCAAAATCCGACTTTTTCTCACCTTCCTGCCCGTTCGCAGCTCAGAAAATGACAATGACCATCCTCATCTTGTTGTGTAACTGGACATAGACACGGGCACAAAGAAAAACAGTCACATTTCTCTAAAGAACTCGCCAAGGGCTGCTGAAAGCTGTATAATAACCTATCTCCAAGTTTAGGTCTTGGTACCCGTGAATCTTCACTTTGCGACTAAACTATTCACAGCAGTGCCAAATTTTCTGGGTTACTGAATGTGGGTGCCAGCGCCCTACAAGCAAACCAAAAATCAAACCAATGCGACCACTGACATTACAGCTGTGTCATGTTATAGAGAGGAACGTTGAAATTGGAAGGTGAGCACAAATGGTCAAAATCCGACATTTTCTTAACTTTATGCCTGTTCTCAGCTCAGAAATTGACAATGACCATCCTCATATTGTTGTGTAGCTTGACATAGACAAGGGCGCCCAGAAAAAGACCCACATTTCTCAAAACAACTCGCCCATGGCTGCTGAAAGCTGAATAATAACCTATCTAGAAGTTTGGAGCTTTTTACCCGTGAATCTTCACTTTGCGACTAAACTATTCACAGCAGTGCCAAATTTTCTGGATCACTGAATGTGGGTGCAAGCGTCCTACAAGCAAACCAAAAATCAAACCAATGCGACCACTGACATTACAGCTGGCTCATGTTATAGATAGGTACGTTGAAATTGGAAGGTGAGCACAAATGGTCAGAATCCGACATTTTCTCACCTTTATGCCCGTTCACAGCTCAGAAATTGACAACTACCATCCTCATCTCGTTGTGTACCTGGACATTGACAAGGGCACCCAGAAAAAGACCCACATTTCTCTAAAGAACTCGCGCAGGGCTGCTGAAAGCGGAATAGTAACCTATCTCAAAGTTTGGGGCTTTCACCCGTGAATCTTCACTTTGCGACTAAACTATTCACAGCAGTGCCAAATATTCTGGGTCACTGAATGTGGGTGCCAGCGCCCTACAAGCAAACCAAAAATCAAACCAATGCGACCACTGACATTACAGCTGGCTCATGTTATAGAGAGGTACATTGAAATTCAAAGGTGAGCACAAATGGTCAAAATCCGACATTTTCTCACCTTTCTGCCCGTTCGCAGCTCAGAAAATGACAATGACCATACTCATGTCGTTGGTTAGCTGGACATAGACAAGGGCACCAAGAGAAACAGTACCATTTCTCTAAAGAACTCACCCAGGGCTGCTGAAAGCTGAATAATAACCTATCTCCTAGTTTAGGGCTTGGTACCCGTGAATCTTCACTTTGCGACTAAACTATTGACAGCAGTGCCAAATTTTCTGGGTCACTGAATGTGGGTGCCAGCGCCCTACAAGCAAACCAAAAATCAAACCAATGCGAGCACTGACATTACAGCTGGGGCATGTTATACTTCCTCCGCCCAGGCAAAATTTTCGCCTATCTCCTTCAGCCCAATGACAGGTGTCTGACAGCAATTTTTGCATCTTGTGCACTTCACCATCACACAAATCTGCTCGGTCAGGCGTACCAGTTCCAAATAAGTCGGCGAAGTCGGCAAAGAGTAAAGAAACATCTAGAGTAGAGCGCGTTGAATGCGAGTGAACTGGTAAAAAAGACACGAAGTCAGTCACTAGTCAAGGTGGGTGCTGCTAGAGTACCACTGCTGGCACTGGAGTAAAGAGCAGAGGTTTCATGTTGCGAAAGGCTAGTGTGTTTGATTGCATCCTGCTCAAGGTCTGTGTACGGTAAAAATGCACGCGAGCTTGAAGCTGAGAAAGCCACTCAGCGACGCTTGCCCACATACTGCAAAATGAACCAGAATCGGCACTGGGCAAAACAGTTGGAAAAGAAAGGCTTCGATGACAGGGTTGTCACTCGCCCAGCTCATTCGCCTGATGTCAACGTGAACGGTCCAGCAAAGCGACGCTGACTGAGCTCGCCAGCTTCGGCTGGAAAGAAACACAACCGATCATACTCGTGAAGGAGGTGAAGCGCTTGGGAAAAAAAGTGTCGATAGAAAATATTTGCGCTTCTGGAAAGTGCGAAGTACTACCCGACAACAAGTGCTGCGTCGGCTGATGACAAAGGATGCCTGCTACATTTTTCGACTTGGAGAGTTTCTCTTGATGTTCAACGACTCCTCAACTCATTCTGAGTCGTTATAAGCCGTTCTGAGAACCTGGAATGTATCAGTAAAAACTGTAAAGATAAGCGAAAATTTTGCTTGGGCGGAGGAACTTGAATTTTTGGCAGTCTTGGTCATGCTGTCCATTTCCAGCTTCCTGCATGCCAACACGATCATAACCATCATCAGCAGTGCAGTGGTTATTCTATACACATACCAGTATATGATCCTATAGTCCCAATTCCTCATTTACTTGTACACTGATACAGGAAGGAATGCGCACCACTAAGCAGCCGAGACCGAGTAATTCTAGTTTCGGAGATTTTCCAGGGCTATGATGTACATAAGATACTGGACTCGGGAGAGAGATAAAGGGTGCGTTTGGTTGGTACGATCTAGAACAGGATCGAACAGCTGGTGCACACGGAGCAGCCTCATGCCAACCAAACGGTACTCCAGAAACAGAGCATATTTTTGTGAAAAATATGCCAAACTTGGTGCATTCTTCAAAATGTGTATGGGTCACCATGGTCACTGTGTACGGTACGACGAGTCCAACCCAAAAGCGTATGCACGTGATCATTTCGGACCAAAATCGATGTTCCCGCCAGGTTTCACTGTGAAAAAGTGAAACTGCTCGGTCTGCTCCGGCCTCGAGGCCGGAGCAAGCAGAACATGTTCTGGCCGACCCAGAACAGGTGCAGTCCCAACCAAACGCGCTGTTCTGGTGAATCCTGTTCTAGTTCGTACCAACCAAACGCACCCAAAGACACCAGGCAGAGATTGACCAATAACATGGCGGGAGACAAAACAGGATGAAGGGGTCATGTACCTGCAATGTACTAAATTGCAAATATATTCCGACATGGAATTAGGCCCGGGTATAGTCTGAGAAACGACACAACTGTTACACGTAGGTCAGTAAATGCTGCAGAGCAGAAACAACCATCTGCCACTGTGTACTTAGCGTGGTTCTAGCAGAATTAGTACTGTGACAAGGTTTCAATAGAGATACAGTGCACTAGGTATTGCAAGTCCAATGCACATGACTGGAAACTGGTACGAACCGTAGTTTGCCAAGGTCTTCTTCGTACGACTCCAACAATTTCTCCTTTCGCTTGACCTTCTCTCGAATGGCTGATATTCGAGTAGCAAGAGTTTCTTGTATCTATGTCAATACCCGAATGAGCATGTGGACACACACATGCACACACATGCACACACACACACACACACACACACACACACACACACACACACACACACACACATACACACACACACCTTAGACCTTAGACATGCCCATCGCGGGAGCGATGATAGCGAACAGCTATGTTAGACATAGCAACTTGTGCTGGGATTACACCATTCAACACACACACACACACACACACACACACACACACACACGTGCGCGCATATTGTTACATGCCATTATTTTATCTTGACGGCACACACAGCCTGCCAGCAGTAACGGAAGTGACAATTGATGGTACAGTCCTGATCATGTGAATGGTTCCCGAGACTTCAAAGCATGCGTACCACTCAGGCGACAGCCAAAAGGAGACAAGACTAGACTGTGCTTACCTTGCTTCTATCGTTCATAACAGGTTGGCGTTGTGGCGGGGTCAGGCCCACAATGGAACGAGCACCTTGCAGAGGCTCTATATCCAGGCTGTGTGTAATAGCTCTCACTAAGCCACAGTACTGCATGTCGGCACGGCAACAACAAGACGGGCATGTCATTAGATACTGACTGGAATATGCTACATGTATTGGTATGCATGTACATGCATTGGTATGCATGTACATGCATACCAATGCATGTACATGACTGCCAGACAGTGGCACACTGCATTGGCAAAAACGATTACACTCTTCACCGAAAGTTATAATACACCCTATACAGAACAGATACACCCTATATAACAGATACACCCTATATAACAGATACACCCTATATAACAGATACACCCTATATAACAGATACACCCTATATAACAGATACACCCTATATAACAGATACACCCTATATAACAGATACACCCTATATAACAGACTAGCAGCATCCGGCCAGCGTTGCCTGGCCGAACGTGGCATGCGGGTGAAGCAAGTACATGACCAGCACACGTGCTCAGCACGTGGTGGTGGCTACACGATTCGCACGCTTCGCGTGCTCAGTGCTTCTGTGGCTGCTTCCGCTAGCTACACGATTCGCACGCTTCGCGTGCTCAGTGCTTCTGCGGCCGCTAGCTACACTGTTCGCACGCTTCGCGTGCTCAGGGCAGCGCTGCTCCGCAGCGAACACACAGACAACCACACAGACAAACACACGTCACAGGTGCCTCTTCTTTATAGTATATATACACCCTATATAACACATACACCCTATATAACAGATACACCCTATATAACAGATACACCCTATATAACAGATACACCCTATATAACAGATACACCCTATATAACAGATACACCCTATATAACAGATACACCCTATATAACAGATACACCCTATATAACAGATACACCCTATATAACAGATACACCCTATATAACAGATACACCCTATATAACAGATACACCCTATATAACAGATACACCCTATATAACAGATACACCCTATATAACAGATACACCCTGTATAACAGATACACCCTGTATAACAGATACACCCTGTATAACAGATACACCCTGTATAACAGATACACCCTATATAACAGATACACCCTATATAACAGATACACCCTATATAACAGATACACCCTATATAACAGATACACCCTATATAACAGATACACCCTATATAACAGATACACCCTGTATAACAGATACACCCTGTATAACAGATACACCCTATATAACAGATATACCCTATATAACAGATACACCCTATATAACAGATACACCCTATGTGAGAAAAGGGAGAGAGTGTGGGTGTATGTTTGTGTAGTGGTGTGGGCATGTGTGGATTTGGCATTTGTCCCCAGCTCTTTTCTATATCATTCATGCCGGAAATACTGCTGCATAGCCCCAAGTCTGAAGACTTGGCAACTTCACGCCTGCACCTGACTCTTGCGCTATGATACGCGTCGCCTATGACACCCCTCGGAATTTCCCACCTTGCTCCCCCTTATGTTCTGGCTGCCCGTTTTGGATCCATCAGTTGCCTGATGATCGTAGAGATACGTGAAACTCGGAGTTGTGACAAAGCTTCCAAACTCTCTCTTGTGTAACAGATACACCCTATATAACAGATACACCCTGTATAACAGATACACCCTATATAACAGATACACCCTATATAACAGATATATCCCGTTTTGGATCCATCAGTTGCCTGATGATCGTAGAGATACGTGAAACTCGGAGTTGTGACAAAGCTTCCAAACTCTCTCTTGTGTAACAGATACACCCTATATAACAGATACACCTTATATAACAGATGCACCCTATATAACAGATACACCCTATATAGCAGATACACCCTATATAACAGATACACCCTATATAACAGCTACACCCTATATAACAGATACACCCTATATAACAGATACACCCTATATAACAGATACACCCTATATAACAGCTACACCCTATATAACAGATACACCCTATATAACAGATACACCCTATATAACAGATACACCCTATATAACAGATACACCCTATATAACAGATACACCCTATATAACAGATACACCCTATATAACAGATACACCCTATATAACAGATGCACCCTATATAACAGATACACCCTATAATAACAGATACACCCTATATAACAGATACACCCTATATAACAGATAGTGCTGAAACGATTACGTTTTTTCCTTAGTGGCTTAGCTGATACCATAACGATCGGCTTATCGGCTAAACGATTATTATTGTAACTACATCGGTACGTGTACATTCTGTGAATTCCAAAAAAATTACGAGTCCAACATCGCCAACGACGAAAAGCGGGCGCATAGATCCGATGATCCCGCAACAAGTCCGTCAGCTGTTCGGACTGACCAGACGAATACAGACCAGACAGAGGCAACTCACTGGTTGCAACCCAAGTGCTGATGGTGCCCTTCGCCTGTGACTTCGCTGACTCAGACGATGAAGTCAGAGAAGCCGGCCAGGAGTGCAGACCGGTGGATTTCGACGGATGAGCTGACTTGAGGCGCACCAACAAGTAACTAGTTGCTTTTCCTGTCTATGCTCAAAATAGGCCCAGACGCCAGGCCTAGCTCGTCGTCGAGCAAACTGGTTCGGGAACCGTCGACAGAACGGAAAACATGAAACTGAAGACCACTTTACTGTCTTTAGCTCAAGACTACTCGCACGTGGAGGGAACTCCAGCCCCTGCAGCTAGTGAGTGGTGTAGACACATACTTAGTACCGGTACTGAGCCTGCTCGTCCTGCATGCTGTATGGAAAGTAGATCTACGTAGTCAGCTCAAAAGACGGCGACGATGATCGCGTCGATGTTTCACAGATCGCGCTTGTGCTTTTACACGTACATCGATGTTGCAAGTGTACATGGTGTACAGTCATGTACATATTCATGTCGTACTCGCAACACTTTCGATGCATGCACGCTTTGTGCGACCCCCAAAGGGGGGAAATCCCATGCCGAGCGTGAGTACCATTCTACTCGTTTAGCCGATAAAATCGAAATAACCGTTCGATCTATTTCTTATCGAGTAAGTAACGAGTAATCGATATAATCGTTTCAGCACTAATAACAGATAAACCCTATATAACAGATACACCCTATATAACAGATACACCCTATATAACAGATACACCCTATATAACAGATACACCCTATATAACAGATACACCCTATATAACAGATACACCCTATATAACAGATATACCCTATATAACAGATACACCCTATATAACACATGACTGTAATACTTGATCCTCTTCCTAATATTAGGCCCTCTTCCTTAGAAGTGTTTGGCACTTTCTGAATGTATACAGATACCACAGATATCTGCATATCACGTTAGTTTCAACATGACACGACCAGCCTGATGTCCACATCCATGTGCTGAGCATCACCTAGCTGATATATCCCTTGCTGTCAGAACTTACCACTTTCTCGCTCTCCTCTAGCGTGGCCAAGAGTTCATGCTGAGCGTGGCGCTCTGCCTCTAGTTGGTTGCGAATTAGCTCATACTCACTGTTGTTGGAAGATGTCTGCAATGTACAGGGTTCAAGACATGACAACAGTAGACCACAGACTCAGTAGAAATAGGAAGGCAGGATATAACAACACAAACAAAATAGTCCCATGTGTGATCTTTCACTATGCCCGATCTTGAAAGGACTTGCTTACAAGTAGAAAGTCGGTGCACTACGGTAGTGGCCAAAAGGAGACTCTGCTTTGGTAGCTTTAGTATTTCTCTCTTGCTTTTTTTCAACAACCAACCCCAGAGCTCTGGGAAGCTCCATGAAAACATGAACACATGATACTATGATACGTACACACAGCAGCAAGGTCGCCACATGTACATGAATACATGATACTATGATACGTACACACAGCAGCAAGGTCGCCACATGTACATGAACACATGATACTATGATACGTACACACAGCAGCAAGGTCGCCACATGTACATGAACACATGATACTATGATACGTACACACAGCAGCAAGGTCGCCACATGTACATGAATACATGATACTATGATACGTACACACAGCAGCAAGGTCGCCACATGTACATGAACACATGATACTATGATACGTACACACAGCAGCAAGGTCGCCACATGTACATGAACACATGATACTATGATACGTACACACAGCAGCAAGGTCGCCACATGTACATGAATACATGATACTATGATACGTACACACAGCAGCAAGGTTGCCACATGTACATGTAACGGTTACATTTAAAAAGAAGCACCACATATTTATGTGACCATGCTGAAATGTGTGTGTGTGTGTGTGTGTGTGTGTGTGTGTGTGTGTGTGTGTGTGTGTGTGTGTGTGTGTGTATGTGTATGCCCACGGCTCACACACCACTCACATGCATGCACATGCACGCTACACGCACCCATCCATGTTTAACCGGCATGTAGATATGCACACTGTCTGTCAACTCACCGTGGTTAGAAGCTCAGCGGTGGTGGCCAGTGCAGCTTTGTTCTGCAATGCAAGCTGACCCCGTGTGTCCTGGAGCTGTTGGCTGTCAACATCCATACGTGCTGAAGAGGATAGACCTGGATATTTCAAAAGCAGTGCACAGAAGACGTACTAAATAGCACATTGAATGAGTCATGCAGGACAATGGGTACACACTGCTACACTAGTGTTGGTAGATTAAACATCTTTCATACAGGGGATCCTGAGTGTGGCAACAAATATTATCAGAGGATAGTAAAGAACGGCCACATGAAGAAAATGAACGCTATGCTATTACATTGTACATACCGTATTTTACCGGTTGTAAGTCGACCCCGGTTATAGGTCGACCCCGTATCCGGAGGTCTCAATTCTGCATTTTAAAGTTTTCACCCAAAGAAGCACTACTAACCACCTCCTGCTACTAACACATCAACAAATCATGTAAACATTCCTTATTGGAGGGCATAACGTCCCAATCCATGAAAAAATGCCAATAAACTGGCAACAATGTGTACACATGGTGCACTCGTGCATGCAGTGCAGGTCATTTTTGTAAGATACTGATATTTCCCGGTTATAAGTCGAATCCCGGTTGTAAGTCGACCCCCACCCTTTCTCCGTCTATTTTAAGTCGTAAAAGGTCGACTTACAACCGGCAAAATACGGGATGTATGTCACCATAGAACCTCCCGCTACACTATTCACAGGCTCTATAAGTTAGTTAGTAGTGGTGGAGTTTTCACACGTTTTACACTACGCCACTATGCAACTACCCTGTAAGTATATCTGAGAGCTGTTTGGACGGACTCACCGGGCGTAGTCGCTGCAGGACTCCGTGTTTCTCCGCGCCTTAGCGTTGCCAATGCTGCACTCTGATCCCGAATGACTCGATCATGGTTCTGTGCCTGGCAGCGCGCTCCCACTTCAGCCAAGCTAAAGGTTTTCTGATGCTGCCAAGGAAGAGATTGGCAAGCACAAAGCCGAGTGGCATTCATTTCCTGACCCATTACTAGTCTAGCACATGTATTTATATCCTGCTCCTGTATCATTTCCTTGTGTTGGATTGCCTATGCATGTACCTGTTTATATACACACGAAGGGCAGAACACGCATGTAATGGTAAATTACCCAACATAACCCCCCCCCCAATAGAGTCTTGAATAAAGTAACTGACCAGAACCATTGAGCCATTATGCATTTCACTACCAGCATCAACTGGTACTGGCACTAGGTACTGTAAGCCACTCTTCCTTCAAACACATCCTGACAGCAAATCTGAGCAGCAGTTTGGACAGCAAACATTGCTGCTTCACATCATAGTGCAGTCAAGGTTAAATGGCATGTGCCAAGCACCGGCGGCACTTTCAATAAAATTACCTTCTCGTTCAGATGAGATAACCGCACAACGCAGAGCAGCATAGCATGGCACATGGCAGCACAGCGCGAGCACAGCACAGCACAATATGCGGGATCAACAGAGTGATCAGGAACTGAACACCCTTGCAGTAACAGTCAGGTTTCACATCATCTCAGCAATGGTTCCAACTCAAGTACACACAGTGCACCACAGCACACACTATACCTGGAAACTTCCAAGAGGCGCACCAGGTTGTCGAACTCAGACTCCAACTCGTCCTGGCTCATGTCATCACAGGAAACAAGGCTGTCTGACACACCATCATCGACTTTCTGCATTATCACCGGCCCACCGTCATCTGCGGACACAGTATGCACTGACGGCTGTGCTGCAAAGCTGACATGCTGGGACGTGTCCACTGGTCTAAGTAACTCCACGGCAGCTGACCGGCTAGAAGCGCCTGTATTGCCATGCAGCAAAAAACAAACAAACAAACACACACACACGGACATGCACACACACACACACACACACACACACACACACACACACACACACACACACGTATACACACAGAGTATGCAAACATACAGCCAGCGTCTGGCCACCAACATATGTTCCAGTGAGGGGAAAAGGATGAGGAATCTGGGAGCCTAGCTGGCAGAGTGACGTCTTGCTGATGAGTGCCATGTCGATGGAGATTTGGACTTCTGCCGACTCCGTTGAAAGTTGGTGGCGGCCTGGAAGCGTGTGAATCTACTTTTCCACCAAGTCCAAACCACCGGTGGCTGAATTTTTGCAGCGGTGAGCAGGTCCAGTGCCAAGGGTTCTGGTACTAATCGGGAACAAACGCTTCAGACGTTTCATTTCATTTCATTGATCTTCCCAAGGCAAGTAAATACCTGTCGAGTGAATCCTAGCATGCTGTTACCTACCTAATGCAATACTTCCTCCGCCCAGGCAACATTTTCGCTTATCTCCTTCAGCCCAATGACAGGTGTCTGACAGCAGTTTTTGCATCTTGTGCACTTCGCCATCACACAAATCTGCTCGTTCAGGCGTACCAGTTCCAAACAAGTCGGCGAAGTCGGCAAAGAGTAAAGAAACATCTAGAGTAGAGCGCGTTGAATGCGAGTGAACTGGTAAAAAAAAGACACGAAGTCAGTCACTAGTCAAGGTGGGTGCTGCTAGAGTACCACTGCTGGCACTGGAGTACAGAGCAGAGGTGTCATGTTGCGAAAAGTTAGTGTGTTTGATTGCATCCTGCTCAAGGTGTGTGTACGGTAAAAATGCACGCGAGCTTGAAGCTGAGAAAGCCACTCAGCGACGCTCGCCCACATACTGCAAAATGAACCAGAATCGGCACTGGGCAAAACATTTGGAAAATAAAGGCTTCGATGACAGGGTTGTCACTCGCCCAGCTTATTCGCCTGATGTCAACGTGAACGGTCCAGCAAAGCGACGCTGACTGAGCTCGCCAGCTTCGGCTGGAAAGAAACACAACCGATCGTACTCGTGAAGGAGGTGAAGCGCTTGGGAAAAAAGTGTCGATAGAAAATATTTGCGCTTCTGGAAAGTGCGAAGTACTACCCGACAACAAGTACTGCGTCGGCTGATGACAAAGGATGCCCTCTACATTTTTCGACTTGGAGAGTTTCTCTTGATGTTCAACGACTCCTCAACTCATTCTGAGTCGTTATAAGTCGTTCTGAAACCCTGGAATGTATCAGTAAAAACTGTAAAGATGAGCGAAAATTTTGCTTGGGCGGAGGACGTAGATAGGTACGTTGAAATTGGAAGGTCAGCAAAAATGGTCAGAATCCGACATTTTCTCACCTTTATGCCCGTTCACAGCTCAGAAATTGGCAATCCCCATCCTCATCTCATTGTGTAGCTGGACATAGACAAGGGCACCCAGAAAAAGACCCACATTTCTCTAAAGAACTCGCCCAGGGCTGCTGAAAGCTGAATAATAACCTATCTCCAAGTTTGGGGCTTTTACCCATGAATCTTCACTTTGCGACTTAACTATTCACAGCAGTGCCAAATTTTCTGGGTCACTGAATGTGAGTGCCAGCGCCCTAACAGCAAACCAAAAATTAAACCAATACGACCACTGACATTACAGCTGGCTCATGTTATAGAGAGGTACGTTGAAATTCAAAGGTGAGCACGAATGGTCAGAATCCGACATTTTCTCACCCTTATGCCCGTTCGCAGCTCAGAAAATGACAATGACCACACTCATTTGGTTGTGTAGCTGGATATAGACATGGGCACTAAGAGAAAATGTCACATTTCTCTAAAGAACTCGCCCAGGGCTGCTGAAAGCTGAATAATACCCTATCTCCAAGTTTAGGTCTTGGTACCAGTGAATCTTCACTTTGCGACTAAACTATTCACAGCAGTGCCAAATTTTCTGGGTCACTGAATGTGGGTGCCAGCGCCCTACAAGCAAACCAAAAATCAAACCAATGCGACCACTGACATTACAGCTGTGTCATGTTATAGAGACGAACGTTGAAATTGGAAGGTGAGCACAAATGGTCAAAATCCGACATTTTCTTACCTTTATGCCCGTTCACAGCTCAGAAATTGACAATGACCATCCTCATATTGTTGTGTAGCTGAACATAGACAAGGGCACCCAGAAAAATACCCACATTTCTCTAAAGAACTCGCCCATGGCTGCTGAAAGCTAAATAATAACCTATATCAAAGTTTGGGGCTTTTTACCCATGAATCTTCACTTTGCGACTAAACTATTCACAGCAGTGCCAAATTTTCTGGGTCACTGAATGTGGGTGCCAGCGCGCTACAAGCAAACCAAAAATCAAACCAATGCGACCACTGACATTACAGCTGGGACATGTTATAGATAGGTACGTTGAAATTGGAAGGTGAGCAAAAATGGTCAGAATCCGAAATTTTCTCACCTTTATGCCCGTTCACAGCTCAGAAATTGACAAAAACCATCCTCATCTTGTTGTGTAGCTGGACATAGACAAGGGCACCCAGAAAAAGACTCACATTTCTCTAAAGAACTCGCGCAGGGCTGCTGAAAGCTGAATAATAACCTATCTCAAAGTTTGGGGCCTTTTATCCGTGAATCTTCACTTTGCGACTAAACTATTCATAGCAGTTCCAAATTTTCTGGGTCACGGAATGTGGGTGCCAGCGCCCTACAAGCAAACCAAAATTCAAACCAATGCGACCACTGACATCATAGCTGGCTCATGTTATAGAGAGGTACATTGAAATTCAAAGGTGAGCACAAATGGTCAAAATCCGACATTTTCTCACCTTTCGGCCCGTTCGCAGCTCAGAAAATGACAATGACCATACTCATCTCGTTGTGTAGCTGGACATAGACAAGGGCACCAAGAGAAACAGTACCATTTCTCTAAAGAACTCGCCCAGGGCTGCTGAAAGCTGAATAATAACCTATCTCCTAGTTTAGGGCTTGGTACCCGTGAATCTTCACTTTGCGACTAAACTATTCATAGCAGTTCCAAATTTTCTGGGTCACGGAATGTGGGTGCCAGCGCCCTACAAGCAAACCAAAAATCAAACCAATGCGACCACTCACATAACAGCTGGCTCATGTTCTAGAGAGGTATGTTGAAATTCAAAGGTGAGCACAAATGGTCAAAATACGACATTTTCTCACCTTTCGGCCCGTTCGCAGCTCAGAAAATGACAATGACCATACTCATCTCGTTGTGTAGCTGGACATAGACACGGGCACCAAGAGAAACAGTCACATTTCTCTAAAGAACTCGCCCAGGGCTGCTGAAAGCTGAATAATAACCTATCTCCAAGTTTGGGGCTTTTACCCGTGAATCTGTTGAGACCCTGGCTGCTTGACTTAGGAGTAGTGGTGGACCGTTTTTTCAGCTCGTAGATTCTCGCTCCTGGAGAGCCCAGTCGGCATCAGGCCGGTCTGGAGGTGGATATATCTCAGCAGTAGTAGTAGTAGTGGTAGGGCAGTGTAGTGGTGGTAGGTTCGCCATCAACGGCGATTAGAGACAATACCAGAAAACACAAAAACAAAAAATGTCGAAGGAGAAACCGACACGAAGATCGAGCTCCCTTCCGCGTGGCTCCAACAAACGAGGCCGAGGTGATCTCTCGATGGATTCCTCACCCGAGGGTTCCGCTAAGACCAACAAGAGGCTGTTCTCAGCGGAGGAGGCCGCAGAGTTTGTCTCAAGTGACTGTGCCGGATCCCTCGAATCCCTGAGAAAAGACTCTCAGCTTGAAAATTCTCCGCTGGGAGAAAATTCTCAATTTGAAAATTCCCGGCTGCAGGAACTTGTGCGGGATGAGGTCGTGAAAGCCCTCCCATCGTGTATTTCCTATCTCCGAGATGCTGTTGTGGCGGAGGTAACGGCAGCATTGCAGCCCCAACTCCAGCGTCTCATAGAGAGGCTGCTGGTCAAGCTCAGTCCTACACCCAGTGATGCTGCGACTCAGTCCAGTCGTCTGCCAGTTTCTGTCACTGAGCAGCAGCAATCTGTCCTGGATGCGCCAACATTTGCCTCGGTGGTCAGTCCTACACCCAGTGATGCTGCGACTCAGTCCAGTCGTCAGCCAGTTTCTGCCACTGAGCAGCAGCAATCTGTCCAGGATGCACCAACATTTGCCTCAGTGG